CTAAACCCCAAACCCTAAACCCTAAACCCCAAACCCCGAACACCCCATAAACACCCCAGGGGCTGCTTCGCTCTCATCCACGGATGTCACGGAGCCCACGGAGGAGCCCTGCACGTTTAGGGTTTAGGGTTTAGGGTTTAGGGATCTGGAGAGTTGACTCCTAAACCCTAAACCCTAAAACCCTACGGATCTGGGCTTCAATTTTGAAGGGTGCAGATTTTAGGGTCCGGGGTTTACGGGCTTTTGAGCTACAGGGTCCGGGGTTTTGGGGTTTATTGCTTCAGGGTCTTCGTTTGGGGTTTGGGGTCTAGGGTTTAGGGTTAGGGCTTGGGGTTTATAAGGGCTTGGGGCTTAGGGTTTAGGGTTTAGGGTTGCCTCCCAAATTTGGTAGTCCGGGCCTTGCTGACATAACGCTGCATGTCATCCGCCTGCCATTGCGACCCACTGGGGAGCCCAAAACAGGGACTAAACTGCTTAGGGTTTACCAAAACCCTAGACCCTAAACCCTAAACTTTCCCTAGCCCCTAAACTCTAAACCCTAAACCCCAAACTTCCCTAAACCCTGAAACCCTAAACTCTATAGGTTTGATGAAGGCCCGCACCCTGGAGCGCATCCCCCAAAAACTTGAAAGCAAACACATCGTCAAGCCAGACGCTTGTAAATCACCTTAAGAACGGTTTCAAACCCCTAAACCCTAAACCCTAATAAAGCTTATATGAACCCTAAAACCCAAACCTTAAACCCTCTACACACCACACACACATCACTTGAGTTGGTGTCAAGTCGACAAGAAAACATGCAGAACGGAGCGGAACAGCTCGAAGCAGGTACGTAGGGCTGGCGTCCCACCCTTTACACACACAAACAGGCAGCAGGAATAGTTCGTCATCTAAGCTTTACAGCATTAGTCTCTTTAGATGCCATGCGCGTTGCCAGCCCGAACCACCCCGAATCAGGGCGCCGTGCAGACCCTTATAAGCATACCTGAATAAAACACAACGTCGCCTGCTAAGGCTTCTGGCGTCTACCCTAAACCCTAAACCCTAAACCATAAACCCTAAACCCTAAACCACCACACATACAACCAAAAAACACCCGAAGCCCCTGAAATTGGCCTCGCTGGGGTCACGCAGAAGCTGCGCAGACGTGTCGGGCACTTCCTGTGACCCAGGTCCGCCAGGGTTTAGGGTTTAGGGTTTAGGGTTTAGGGTTTAGGGTACTTATGAAGCAATATAACTGTATATATAACCCCACTTATCAGCCCCTTAAGTGCCCTAATATGGTCATAATCTGGGTTAGAAGTGCAGCTATGATTGGTAAATAAGTACCAAAAAAACCTTAGGTAAACCCTGAACCCTGAAGGTGTCAGTCAGATGGAGCCTATGGGAAGGTGTCTCCCTCAACCCTAAGCGAATTTAGTTTTGGGGGCTCAGAGGTGTTTGAGGTGCACCACCCCTGCTGCAAAGGATGACACGCACAAATCGAGTGCAACCATAAACTATGCCAACTCGACGTTGGCTCAAGATGAGGCACAAATCGAGAAGTGTCCCGACTGGGGGTGGTTTACTTCAGGGCACGCATCAGGGTTCTCCCCTGGGTGTAGCCCGGTACCCTAGTCTCCGCCCGAACCCCATCTCTGGTTCCCTAATCCTGAACCCAGGTTGTTCAGGGTGTTGGGGGGCTTGAGGGTTCTTTCTTTCGTAGGGGTGGTGATGAGATGGATGCTCAGAGGTATAATCCCTTAGATGACTTACACATAAGCATACGGAACAACCTCAGCCCAGCACCATCACATTTCAGCCACATCACCGACACCCCTCATAACCAACAAGAGGGTTTCGGTTTTGGCATCTGAGGCTTGTAGGGCACGGTACCCTACGCACACCTGAGCGGCCAGAGTGAGAATCGAAAACAGAAAACCGAGAACCCTAAACCCTAAACCCTAAACGCTAAACCTTAAACCCTAAACCCTAAACCCTTACCCTAAACCCGCACAGCGGGCCATCCCGCGCCCTAAACCCTTAAGCCCGCGCCTCAATTTTCGGGAGGTCGGTCTCTCCCATCTTGCTCGGCCTGCCGCGGACACTGGCACTGGGACTCTCGCTTTTAATTTTAGGGTTTAGGTATAGGGCTTAGAGTTTAGGGCTTAGGTTTTGGGGTTTAGGGTTTGGGGTTTAGGGTTTCGGGTACTTCCAAGTTCACGGATAGTCGCAGGGCTGTGGATGTTCATCAATGAACTAGGGGTGCTACCTACTTACAGCACCCACTTAGAGCTGCCCCATTATCTCCAAACCCACAAAACTCTAGACCCTGAACGATTTCGGAGGGGGGGAGGAGGGCGAAGAGCCCGCATTTCCGAAAGAGGGGGTCGGGAAGAAAAATAATAGCAGGATGTGATTGGGAAACGGATGAGATGTAGCAATATAGAATACTAGTCGTGAAAAGTAGTAGTGAAGGCACCAGAACAGTAATGCGACCACTACGTGGTAGTCATTGCTGTCCTGGGCTTCATGGAGAAGAAATCAGTCATTCTCTGTTCTCTGTCTGTCAAACAAATCTTCGCCGCAAGCTCCAGACGCCACCCTAAACTCCAGACCCAAAATCCGAACACCCCACACCTGCAACCCTAAACCCTAAACCCTAAACCCTAAACCCTAAACCCTAAACCCTAAACCCTAAACCCTAAACCCTAAACCCTAGACCCTAAACCCTAAACCCTAAACCCTAAACCCTAAGGGTGTGCAGCCTGGCCTGAGAAGGGGGGCCCACGAGATGAGAAACCTCCAAGACAAGGCCTTCAAAGGGCCTTGAGGGTTTAGGGTTTAGGGTTTAAGGTTTAGGGTTCAAAAGGTTTTTGGGGTTTAGGACTTCCAGGTTTTCCAGGTTTTGCAGGATTGCTAGGGTTTGGGGTTTGGGGTGTAGGGTGTCGGAAGCTCTTAGGCCCCTCGCGGGTCCTGAAAAGGTTCTAATAAACTAGTAGTCTGCTAACCGAACTAGTAGGTCGCTGAGGGTTTAGGGTTTGGAGTAGAGTATGCGATGGCTACATTCATTGCCAAGAACTTACACCTTCCCCTCGATGAGTGTCTCACTCTTCTGCTGTTTCTCCTTCCCCTTCAGAGGCTGTGCGCTTCATGAAATCGAGTTGGCGCGACTATTGAAACAAGCAGCTGCGGGAAGAAAAGCGCCATGACCAGCAGGCCCATGTCACGAAGCGATAAAAGTAAGGTACATGAACCATAGACCGTTCTAGGGTTCTTTTCGTCCCCAAGCAAACCCTAAAGCGGAACGTGCTGCTTTGGAGCGAGCTTGCGGCTGCTCTTTTCTAGACCCAAGACGAACCTAGGAATGAAACAACAGGGGTGCCTGTTTTGGGCTTTTCAAAGGGTGTAGAAGGGAACCTATGCCCTTAACGCAGGGAAGAAGGGCCTGGTCTGCTACCTTAAGCCCTGAAACCGAATTCAGGAAAAAATACGGGAGTAACGGTCGTGGCTGCCCTTCTTTTGATTTGCCCAAGCCTTGGAGTTAGCAGGCGGTTTTTTTTTCTGATCTATGCCCGCATCGGCTCCCAACAAACACCGGCAGGCGTCAGGGTTTTCGAGGAATTTCAAGGGTTCTGGGGTTGGCGACTTATGACTTTAAAGTATGCCGTTATATAGGGGTGGGAATTATTACTAATAGTGTTCCCTTACGGTCCCTAATTATATTTATACCATGCGCACCGCCCCCCCCCCCCCCCCCCAGCAAAAAAAAAAAGAGAAAAGATCTAACCATTAAGGCCCCTACATTGCATGAGGTTCCTCCAAGTTAGGGCCCCTTTGCGGGTATTGCTTCGATTATCACTATTATCACTACTACTTACTATTCAAAATCAACGTCCATAGCATCCCTCAACCGGAAAGCGTGCGGTCTTTTGGGGATGTTTAAAGCCCGTGGTCCACTTCTGCAATAACCCAGGAAACAACAAAAGGCTAAACTTTAACAGTCCTACTAAACGAGAAGACCCCGAAAATTTTAAAGTTCAACAAATGGCCAAACTATTGGCTAAGCAAGCACATGGGGGTTTCCGAAAATGGTGGGTATCTTATTGGGGTCCTTATTACGAGGGAGTCCTACTCTTATGGGTTCTAAATTCGGGGGCCCCCTATTTTCGTAAACTCCTAAATCTCTCCTAAACCCTAAACCCTAGACCCTAAACCCTAGACCCTAGACCCTAAACCTTAAACCCCTTTCAACTGTTATGCTAAGTAAGCAACTCTCTCTCCGGTGTGTGTTGGATCGGGTCTGCTCTCTGTGAGAGGCCCGGAAGCCAGCGGAGCTGTGTACAAACACTGTCGGCCTGTCCGTGCAAAGTGTGGCTGTTCTGTAGGTCAGCTTGGCATGGAAACCCTAATCCCTGAACCTTTGACCCCTGATTATGTTTAGGGTTTAGGGTTTAGGGTTTAGGGTTTTAGGGTTTAGAGTTTAGAGTTTAGGGTTTAGGGTTTAGGGTTTAGGGTTTAGGGTTTAGGGTTTAGGGTTTAGGGTATCAACCCTTAGCCTTGAGTCCTGAAACCCAAAACCACAAAACCCTAAACCCTAAAACTGAGTGATAGCCCCTTCGGTTCAATCATGGCCCAAGGAGGGGTCTTCAAAAGCATCCCTGATGCCCTACGCAGGTAGGGTTTAGGGTCTAGGGGCTAGGGTTTAGGGGTTAGTCCTGCGTTTCGGTCGCAGCTGTCAATTTCAGTTCAACAGCCCAGCCAGCTTAGATGCTCTGGTGTCAAAACCTCCCTATTCAGGAGCACCAGCAGGCTTCAACGGAGGAAGCCGAGTGCAAAACTTCGCATGCTCTACAACATTTGACCGGCTTGAGGGATGACTCTCAAGCCCCGAACCGATAGACCCTGACTCATACCCCCCGCTGCCCACGCCACTATAAGAGCGAGGCGACTAAGTCACTAGAGACCATTGCCACACAAGTTTTTCATGTGGACCAAGAGACGGTGGCAACTCATGACGTTCACCTCAGCTGCGAATGCGGCTGCAGGAACTTCGGTGGATCTCGAATTGGGGACCCGAGGTTGAACCTCCTTCCTCCTTCCCCTACAGCTCAAGGGGGGTTCAGGCTATAGATGTTGCTTGAGCGGGGGGTGATTGCACGTAGACAGGTATCTCGATACAGTCAGTTCTCTACATTAGGTTGGGGGCGGGGGAAGGCCCGCGATATCACAAGGACCCCCAAACGGGACCATACTTTAGAGAAGCGACCATATAGAGACGTAGCCAAGTTGGTACATGGATGGATGCCGATAGACATGCAGCGAGTGCTATGTCTAGTAATAGGCTGGGCCCCCCAAGTTGAGAACAGCTAAAACTACCCCCCCCCCCCCCCTCCCCAAACCTACGGTTTAGGGTTCCAGCGGCTGCTCCTCCGGGTGCCCTTGGCCGGCTTAATGCTCAAACTTGATGTTGGCTGATCTGCAGCCGCTCCAGCCGAGCGAACATGTTCTGGTCAGCCTGTTGCTGCTTCGTCTGCCGCGTCAGGAGCTCCCGCACCGCTTCCAGCGTTGTCTGTTGGGCCAGCACTCGTTCCTCCTGGCGGAGGAGCAGCTGGAACCCTAAACCCTAAACCCTAAACCCTAAACCCTAAACCCTAAACCCTAAACCCTAAACCCTAAACATTGGCGGCTGATGGCCTTCTTCTTGGCTCGCCTGCCGCAGCCTCCTGTCCACCTCCTCCTGGACGGCGTTGGCAAACTGGAGGCGCTCCGCCGCGCGAGCCGCGAGGTTCTCTAGGGTTTAGGGTTTAGGGTTTAGGGTTTAGGGTTTAGGGCTTAGGGCTTAGGGTTTAGGTTTTACACAAACAACCTAAAAACTCTAGAAGAGCTCTAAGCTGAGGGGTGGGGTGGGGTGGGGTCATTGGGGGTTCAGGGTTCTGGGCTTGCGGGACTCTGGGCTAGAGCCCATACATCCCCAAACCCCTTCAACACCCCAAACCCCTAAACCCCTTCAACACCCTAGACTCCCCTAAACACCTTGAGAGCCTAGACCCCGTGAGGCACCCTAAACACTCTTTTCACCCTAAACCCAACCCTAAGCCCTAAAACCCTAAAACCCTAAAACCCTGAAACCCTGAAACCCTGAAACCCTAGAACCCTAGAACCCTAAAACCCTAAACCCCTAAAACCCTAAAACCCTAAATCCTAAACACTGAAACTGAAACTGCCGGGCTCCGCGCTCTTCCGCCTGGCCTTCTTCCTCTTCTTCGCCCCCGAGGTCCATGTCGTCCTGGGCTGTAGGGTTTAGGGTTTAGGGTTTAGGGTTTAGGGTTTAGGGTTTAGGGTTTAGGGTTTAGGGTTTAGGGTTTAGGGTTTAGGGTTTAGGGTCCCGCAGGAAGTGTCGGGAGGTCTTTAAGGCTTTCGGGATGAGCGGACTTGAGGACTGAGAGGGCTTTTAGGGTGTAAAGTCGCTCAGCGGGAGCCAGTACCCTTCAGTTAGGGAGCAGAAAGACATCGGGTGTAGGGTCTAGCTACCACACCTGAACTCAGTCATAACCCTAAACCCTAAACCCTAAACCCTGAACCCCAAACCCTAATCAAGGACCCCGATCGAGTTGAAGTCGAGTTTTCAATGAGGCCATTAAGCTTCTTCGGCCAGGAGAGCCCGGACTACCCCTAAACCCTAAACCCTAAACTCTTAACCCCAAACCCGATAAACCCTATCAGCACCCTATCAAAACGCTATCAAAAACCCAGTCAAAACATGACCTGGCGATTGGTTTGGTGGTCTACATGGGTGCGTCGGCTTCTGAGCCTCCCAGTTGAAGAACCTGAAGTTGGGTGCCCCCCCCCCCCCCCCAGGGTTTAGGGTTTAGGGTTTAAGGTTTAGGGTTTAGTGGTTATGGGATTCTGGGGTTCTAGGGCTGAATGGTGGGAAGCTTAGGAATTTTTCGGGAGTATTCGGGATGACTCTGCCCTCAGCCCTAAGCCAAAAGCCCTTATGTGGGTTTAGGGTTTAGAGTTTAGGGGGGTTGCTTTGGACCTCCCACTCCCCCAAGGACAGAAGACTACGGAGTTCTCCAAACCCCAAAACCAGACACTCCAACACACCCCCCCCCCTAGGGCTGAGGGTTGAGGGTCTAGGGTTGAGGGCTGCATCATAGCTCAACAAGTGCCATTCAAGCCATCCATGTTGCGGGAGGCTTGCATTTAAGGGGGATCCTGTGCTAAACAGGAAGGTATTCTGACTATGTAAAGGCCTAAGTTCCTCAGGCGGCCCTGACCCCTCAACCCTAAACCCTCAACCCTAAACTCTCCAAGCCGAGTCTCCATGCCCATGCCACCCATGCCACCCATTCCACCCATTCCACCCATGCCGCCCATCATGCCGCCCATTCCTCCCATGCCACCCATCATGGAGGCCAGGTCCTTGGTGCAAGTAGGGTTTAGTGTTTAGGGTTTAGGGTGTAGGGTGTAGGGTTTAGGGTTTAGGGTTTAGGGTTTAGGGCTTACTCCTTAAATACTAGACTATCAGGTCCACCAGGGTCAGGATAACACAAGGCCCCCGTCTTTGGCCATGCGCCACAGCCACCGTTGGGTGCAACGAGCATGTTTTCCACCCTCTCAAGAAAGCAAAGCCTTACTTCTCCGATAACCAAGTTAGGGTTCGGGGTTTAGGGGTTTAGGGTTTAAGGTTTTGGGTTTAGGGAATGGTTAAACTTTACTGTTCCTAATTGCTAAGGAAACCCAAAAAAGCTGCTAAACGTTCAACTATTGGCTAAGTAAGAGACGAAACATGCGACCCCGCAACACACCAGCAAAGAGCAGCGAAGATCGTAACCAAGAAGCGAGATACCCCGAATGCTTACGACCATGAAACGCATGAAGAAGTATCATAACCTCGCTGGAAGTTATGACATGAACAGCAATACAAAAAAAACTTAATCGCGACAGTTCTCGCAACCAGCGCTTGGAATGATACTCAAATTCTCTAAATCCCGATTTGCCGGTTTCAGGGTTCCCTAAACCCTAAACCCTAAACCCTAAACCCTAAACCCTAAACCCTAAACCCTAAACCCTAACCCCAAACCCTAAACCCTAAAACCCTAAAACCCAGGTTAAAGGTCTTCGAGTCCATCTGGAGCTCCAACCAACCCACTGCTTCCTCTCTGTGCCTGACATGCGCAAAGCCAAAACCTTGCAGGTTTAGGGTTTAGGGTTTAGGGTTTAGGGTTTAGGGTTTAGGGTTTAGGGTTTAGGGTTTAGGGTTTAGGGTTTAGGGTTCAGGGTTTAGGGTCTATGGAAAAAAAGGGTAGTTACGTGGGTACCTTAAAGGTTTTTGGGGTTTGGGGAACCCTCAAATCAAGAGCCTCCAAAGCCATGCCGCCTCAGGGAGGGTGCTGCCTGAACTTTTGCATGCTGTCTCAAATGCGCGCGTCCGCCTCCTGCACGTCCGAGTGTGAGGTGCGGCGCGTGAGGCAGCACGCAATTATTCATGCAGCACGCATTTCGAGGCAGCATGGCTAGGGAGGCCTTAGATCAAACCCCCTACGGGTCTTGTTTCGAAAACTCACATCCTTCCCTCACGCGCCCATCGCTAAGCCCTGAACCAGCAAGAAACACCACTGATTCAGGTACTTTCAATAAAGCAAAGCAGTTGAGGCTGGATGTGGGAAGGAGCCTGAACCCTATAAACCCTATAAACCCTAAACCCTAATCCCAAACCCTAAACCCCAAACCCAAGAGTAGCACCTCTCACTCCGAGTGCGCCACCATGCCGCCCATGCCGCCCATGCCGGGCATGCCGCCCATGCCAGGCCTAAGATTTGCTTTCTTCAGCCCTGAACCCCAAACCCTAAACAAACCCTAAACCCTAAACCCTACACCCTGGCCCTTAACCCTAAACTACTGTTTGCTTAAGAACCCCCAAAAAATGAGTCCCTATATTTCCCTTATAAGGAATAATATATATATATATATTTTTTTTTTTTTTTTTGGGGGGGGGGTTCTTAAGCAACTCGTAGTAAACCCTAAACCCTGAACCAACAACCCAAAACCCTAAACCCTCCTGTCTTCCTCGTGTCTTCTCGCGTTCATGAACCATGAACACGTCCTCACCCCCTAGATAGGTCTCTCCTTCGGTCGACTATTTGGGGAAGGTATGTGGCCTGGTATGGGGTCTTCAGGAGCGTGGGTTTAGGGTTTAGGGTTTAGGGTTTAGGGTTTAGGGTTTAGGGTATAGGGTTTGGGGTTTGGGGTTTAGGGTTTGGGGTTTAGGGGGGCTTTAGGGTGTTCGGGGTTGAGGGGTTTCAGGCTTTCTGGCTTTCGGGCTGCTGAGTGTCTCGGATGCTGGTTCTTTGTAGGGAGCTGGTAACCCATGAGAGCCCCTTGTGGGAGCCTAAGGAATCTCAACTGACTGGCGTTTTCGAGGAGAAAAAAAGCGTAGAATTCGGCTCATCTTCGGGTGCTGAGGAGGGGGTGGGAGGGAATTAGGGTTTAGCATTAACCCTAAACCCTAAACCCTAAAGCCTAAAAAGGTCAAAACAAGGTGCGCCATGTCCACGGCTGCCTAGGCTGAGGGTTTATGGGACCCACTGAACAAGCCGAGCAGCATTCCGCCCATGCCTCCCATGCCGCCCATTCCGCCCTCCTCCTCGTCATCGCCACCTGCCAAACCCTAAACCCTAAACCCCAAATCCCATGAGCTCCAGGCGGCAGATAGCTCTAGGGCTTGTAGGGTTCATAGGGCTTACGGGGTTTAGAGGGCTTGTAGGGTTCATAGGGCTTATAGGGTGGGAGATGGGAAACCCTAAGCCTCAGCCCTCACCACTAAACCTTGAACAGGGTTTAGGGTTTAATTAGGGTTTAGGGTTTAGGGTTAGGGTTTAGGGTTTAGGGTTTAGGGTTTAGGGTTTAGGGTTTAGGGTTTAGGGTTTAGGGTTTAGGGTTTAGGGTTTAGGGTTTAGGGTTCCACCACGAGCCAAGAAAACCGTAAACCTAAACCCTAAACCCTAAATCCTGAACCCTAAGCCCTAGATCCTACACCCAACACGAACCACTTCCCTCTCCCCCCCGAAACCTAAGCCTTCAACCCTGAATCTCAAACCCACCGCGAACCACAGGTGGGAGAGGGCGAAACCCTTAACCTAAACCCTCAACGCTAATCCCACATGCCATGAACCAAAGGGGAGGGTGGGGAGTGGGGAGACGCTACGCCGCTACACCAACCATGAACCACGGAAAAGGGCGGACCATGGCGGGAGGGGGTGGAGGGAGTGTGTGCACGCCGGCGCATACAGTAGAAGCCCTGAACCCTACATCCCCCCAAGCCCCATAAACCCTAACCCCTAGCCCCTAAACCCTAAACCCCAAAGCCTAGCAAACCCTATGAACCCGTAAGCGCCCGAGCCGAGAACCCCCAACACACCTACCGTAGGGGCAACATGAGCTTTGGGGTTTCTGGGGACTAGGGATTAGGGTTTATAGGGAATTAGGGTTTATAGGGAATAGGGTTTAGGGTTTACAGGGATTAGGGTTTAGGGCTTAAAGGGATTAGGGTTTTGGGTTTCTAGGGACTTTTGATCAGGGTTTATAGGGATTTTTGGGGGTTTGAGGCTTGGGGATACGGTTGAAAAGGCTCTAGGGTTGCGTCTTTAGGGATGCAGGTCTTCTTCGACAAGGTTTGGGGATCAGGGTATCAACAACTGCGTTGTTGACACCCCAATGCTCGCCAGCCCCTCGGAGTACATGGACCCCTAAACCCTAAACCCTACACCCTACACCCTTAACCCTAAAAGCTAAACCCTCTACAGTACCCTCTACCCTCAATCCTCAATCCTAAGCCCAAAGCCCTAAAATTCTGTTGGGCTCGTAGCAGTCTGCCTCCGCTGCCGGACGTCTCCTGGAGCTTGTACCAGGGCTGCTCCTCCTGCCGAGACATGCGGTTTAGGGTTTAGGGTTTAAGGGCTGAGGGCTAAGGGTTTAGGTTTTCGGGTTTGGGGCTGGATTCTTGCAGACCTTGCTTTGTGGATTCGGGGTTTAGGGTTTAGGGTTTAGGGTTTAGGGTTTAGGGTTTAGGGTTTAGGGTTTAGGGTTTAGGGTTTAGGGTTTAGGGCCCATACTATCATAATCAAGGGTTTGGGGTCTCGGGCTGAGGGTTTAGGGTTGCTTCATAAGGGAACCTTGAACCCCAAAGCAGCGTAAAGGGTACCGCTGGGCTGCCGAGAAGGGTTTCAGGCTCAAGGGCGTACTCGTGCACGCACCCTTGAAACCGTCTCGGCATATGATTTCAAAATAGCCACAAGCCCTAAGCCCTAAACCCTAAACCCTAAACCCTAATCCCTAAGGCAATTTTTTAGGGCCTTATGGTGATGCAGGTGCCAAACCCCAAACCCCTCAACCTCCGACCCTGGGCCCTCAAACCCTCAAACACGTAAGCCCAACCCTAAAACCCATAAACCCAAAAAAACAACAGCCGAAAACCCTCAACCCAAAAGTCTACAAACCTAAACCCTATAAACCCTGAAGTCCCTTAACCCCCAACCCAAAACTCGAAGGCACAATGCTTATGGCCTGGTGTGCGGTTTCGGGTTTAGGGTTTAGAGTTTCAGGTTTGGAGGGGAGAGCCTTGAATTTGGTGATCTAAGGCCTAAGGGGCTGTTGGGGGATTGGGGCCCCCAGAGGGCACCAGGGGATTTTTTAGGGGTTTGGAGGTTTAGGGTTTCAGGGTTTAGGGGTTGGGGGGGTTCAGGGTTTTGGGGCGCGTTTCGGGTTCTAGCGCTTTAGGCTGAGCCCCAGAAGCCGTGCACGCTGGCTATGCGGAGAATCTTGGCTTCGTGCAGTTTGGAGGGCGGCTGTTTGAAGATTAGGGTTTAGGGCTTTGGGAAGGCAGCGGCATTTGTCGTATATAAGCATAGCAGCTTTCAGCAGCAGGAGCATGAGGAGTATGCACCCATCAGTGTGAGCACATGCGTTGCTCGGAATTCTGCCAAAAGGCTGCACCTTTTCCGCCACAGTTGCATACGCCCAGCATGCAGCAGGATTAGGGTTTAAGGCTTGGGGGTTTGGGAATTTTCGGGTTCCGGGGCGTAGGGTGTAATCAAGTACTGCCCTGAACCGCAGCACCCAAATGGGAAGAGGCTTCTTGCCCGGCCCCTCTGCTTATGCACAGCAACCTGCTTCTTCAAACCACAAGCCCTAAAGATGCTCAAGTGAGAGCTCTTACTTGAAGGATGAGTGTGCCGTGCTTCAGGTTTATGAACTCTCAACTCTCAACCTCAAAACAACCCTCAGGCCGAAAAGCCTTCTGCTCGTGGTGTGTAAACATCGCGATCTAACCCCCAAACCCCAAACCTTGAACGCACGAGGCAGGATGCATCGGCAACGCGCCACATCCTAAGCCACCTTTAGCACCCAGTCCGTCCAAAGGGCGTAGGGAGGCGTAGGATTTTCGGGCTTGGGGGGTTGGGGGCTTAGGGGCTTAGGGTTTTTTGGGGGTTAGGGGTTTAGGGTTTAGGGTTAAGAGACACCCTCAAACTCCCAGCAAACCCCTCAGGGCTACAAGAGCCACGGTTCAGGGTTTAGGGTTTAGGGTTTAAGAGTTAAGGGTTTAGGGTAAAACCCGATGGAAAACCCATGGAAAAAACCTCCCCAACTCAGGGGGTCCTTCTTGGTCAGCTTGAGCACAACCATGCCTAAGCACACACATCGCTTTGCTTCTATAGACGCTGCAGCCAGCCTGGGGTTTAGGGTTTAGGGTTTAGGGTTTAGGGTTTAGGGTTTGGGTGTAGGGTTTAGGGTTTAGGTTTAGGGCAGGGGGTTCGGGTTCAGGGCATGACAAGTCGTTGGAACGAACTCAGATAAATTAACGAAGCACTTTTACGTATATATCCACTTATGCTTGTGTGTATAAAATACACATAAACGGAAGTTCTAGTATGTGTAGATATTGTGCTAGTCATTACACGTCATGGGGAGGGGGGTGCAGTCAACCACGGTGGCATAACACGCAAGGCTCCAGGGTGGTTCTCGACGGCCTTCAGGGGTTTAGGGATTTAGGGTTCAGGGGTTTGGGGTTCAACCCTAAACCCTAAACCCTAAAGGTTTAGGGGTTTAGCATCCAAGAGGCTTAGGGTTGAGGGGCTTAGGGGTTCAGGTGTTTAGTGGCTGGAGGCCTAGGGAAACTCAGGGGGCTTTAAGGGGCTTAGTGTTTTGGGGCTAGGTCGGGCTTTTGGGGCATGTGGGGCTGACAAGGGGCCTGGAGCTTGAGCACGAATTGGGCTTGTAGGGCTCGACATGGATTGTTGTGGCGTGCTTGGTATTTTTGCCTTAGGGTTGAGGGTTTAGGGTTCAGGGTGTAGGGTGTTGGACCCTAAACCCTAAACCCTAAACCCTAAACCCTAAACCCTAAACCCAAAACCCAAAACCCTAAACCCAAAACCCTAAACCCTAAACCCTAAACCCTAAACCCTAAACCCTAGACCCTAAACCCTAAACCCTAAACCCTAACTGCGGCCCAAGTGGCCCTTGCCTTTCTTGTGATTCACCTCGGGAGGCGCGCAGTCATCCAAAACCCTAAGCGACGAAGCCTACACCCAAGACCCAAACACCACACGGACCCTAAGCTTTAGGGTTTAGGGTTCAGGGTTTAGGGTTTAGGGTTTAGGGTTTAGGGTAACGTAAGTACCCTTAGATGAACCCAAAGCCCCAACCCCAGATCCTGAACACCAAGCCCGAGAACCTCAACCCAACCCTAGACCCTAAAAACAAGGGCTTCTAGGGTTTAGCGCTTCACTGAGTTGTGCTGTAAACCCTTTGAAAATTGTTTATGCTCAACCCCTCCTTAAAACCGGCCTGAACCACTCGAAGCCCCAAAAGCTTCTAAACACCAGATTCTAGGGACTTAGAACCTCTTGGGTTTTCTCGCTGAGGGTTCGGAATTTTGGGGTTCAGGGTTTAGGGTTTCTGGGTTCTGGGTTTAGGGTTTTAGGGTTTAGGGTGTAGGGTATAGGGGTTTGCACGACGGGACTCGCTCTAAACCCTGAGCCCTAGACCCTAAAGACCCTGTAGACTCAGGTGGTAAGAGGTCGCAGTGAGTCGGAGTGCAGCTGAAGTAGATGTGGGCTTGGTCGTTTCGGTGGGTCTGGACCCCACACACACCCAGAATTAGCTTAAGAACCCCCCCCCCCCCCCCCAAAAAAAAAAAAAACCTTAAGGGCAAAGGGCAATATAGGGATTACTGTTTTTAAATAGTTCTTGGGAGGTTCTTAAGCAAATGGTTCCTAAACCGGCCTAAACCCTAAACCCCAAACCAACCCTAAACCCCAAACCCCAAACCCTAAACCCTAAACCCTACAGGCAGTGCGCGCCTTCACGCCGTCGATCTCGTGCGCGAGGTCCTTCAGGGAGAATGTTCTCCTCCTGCCGGCCACCTGCGTCGGATTTAACTTTGAGGACTACACCCTAAACCCTAAACCCTAAACCCTAAACCCTAAACCCTAAGTTCTAAACCCTGTCCGGGGAGTCTTGCCATCTCGAACTCTTGCCTGAGGGGGATGGTCTGGGGCTTTTGGCAAAATTAGGCTACAGGCCTGTTAGGGGTTTAGGGTTTAGGGTTTAGGGTTTAGGGTTTAGGGTTTAGGGTTTAGGGTTCCTAAACCCCAAACCGAAACCCTAAACCCTAAGCCGTTTAGGGTTGAGGGTTTTAGGGGTTGCTTCTGTGGCTTCTCGCCCAGGGTTGGATTTTGGGTTTGCGGTAGGTTGAAACGCGTTTTGGGGCTTAGGGTTTCGGGTCTACCCTTAGCCCTAAGCCCTAAACCCCCATATCCTAAACCCTGAATCCAAAACCCTAAACCCTAAACCCTGAACCCCTAGATGCTTGCTGGGGGTGTAGGTTGGGATGTTCCCCCTTATTGGGCTTACAGTATCCCCTATTGTAATCCCTGTTAAGGAGGACTGTTAGTAACCCTAAACCCTAAACCCTAAACCCTAAACCCTAAACCCTACAGTAAACCCTAAACCCTAAACCCTAAACCCTAAACCCTAAACCCTAAGTTAGTATAAAGGGGGAACATCCCAACGTATAGGTACGATTTTCAGAGGCCTTCGCAATGGTCAGCGAGACATCCTTCTCGCCGGAGGAGGCCTGAGGTGGGCTTCAAGGTGTTCCCCGGTTTAGGGTTTAGGGTTCAGGGTCTAGGGTTTGGGGTTTGGGGTAGGAGGATCCAGGAAAGAACGCAAACACATAAAACAACAAAGAAGAGCAAGAGGGCGCAACTCAGTGTCCGAGTCGGTGAGGCGGGAAGGGGGGGGGGGGGGTGGGGTTCCGGTTCGGGTTTTGGGTTCCGGGCTTAGGGTTCAGGGTTTCGGATTCAGGGCTTAGGGTTGAGCAAGCCTGGAACATGTCTTCGGTGCAGTCATCCAAGCCGTCGAGCTCGATGTAGATGCTCACCTGTCCATTACCCTGACATCGAATACTCACCTACATAAGGTTTAGGGTTTAGGGCTTAGTCCTAAACCCTGAAAAACCCTATATAAGCCCTACATAAGCCCCATATAAAGCCCTTGGCAACCCTATATGGGGGTTTCCGAAAATAGGGGTGCCTTAGTACAAGGGGATCCATTTGGGGATTTCTATTTGGGGTCCCTTATTTTCGTAAGCCCCCATACACGACCCTCCTCGACAATTCTGCCATACTGCGCTGATGGTATGTCGTACAACAGCAAAGTACAGCCGTACCTAACCCTAAACCCTAAACCCTAAACCCTAAACCCTAAACCCTAAAACAAAGTAATTGCTTCTTTTGTGTGGCTGGAAGGCGGGGTGGGGGGGTAATTAGGGGGCCCAACCTCAGCCAATTGCCTGAAGACGCAGGGGGTTTAGGCACAGGGCCTACGTAGACAAGTTCGTGGGCAATTTTACTGAGTAAAGTCCCCTTCTTGGTTCCCCTATATTACGCACCCTAAACCCTAAACCCTACACCCTAAACCCTAAATTGGAAAGGTACCCATGCGGCAAAAATCATGGGCAGTTTTGACCAGCACCCGAAGAGAGCCAACTCGAGGACCGGATACCCCGTAGAATCCCATGAGGGCTACTCTCAAAACCGCAAACCCTAAATCCCAACCCTAAATGGGTTTGGGGTTTGATTAGGGTTTAGGGCTTAGGATTTAGGGACCCTGAGTTACTAAGCCCTAATTGAACCTCATACCCCTCTGAAGCTTTCCGGCTACCCTAAACCCTGAACCCTGAACTCTAAACCCTAAACCCTAAACCCTAAACCCTAAACCCCCCTAAACCCTTGGGCGTTTGGCCAAAACGCCTGCTTCTTGCCATCGCCCCAGCTGTACTTGGTGATAGCATCGCCCGCGCTGCTCATGTCCTCAACGCCGGAAGAAAGCCCGAAAACCAAACGCCCAAGGGTTTAGGGTTTAGGGTTTAGGGTTTAGGTTTTAGGGTTTATATAGGGTTCAGGGTTTAGGGTTTAGGGTTTAGGACCAAGAACCTTAGGGTAGTTGCATGGTCCCTTAGTGTGGACCCTTGAAAGGGGGCGCCTTATATACCCCTTGTATACCCTATACAACCCAAGGGCCCATACATCATGACCCTGAAAAGCAGGCAAGGGACCACCTTGAGGGACCATGCAACTACCCTAAGATTCTTGGTCCTAAACCCTAAACCCTAAACCCTAAACCCTAAACCCTAAACCCTAAACCCTAAACCCTAAACCCTAAACCCTAAACCCTAAACCCTGAACCCTGAACCCTGAACCCTGAACCCTGAACCCTGAACCGTAACTACGCTAAGAAAGAAGGTCCTCAAAAGGAAGGGGGAGTCTAAAGGGCATTAGGTACCTAGGCTCTCCCCGTTGGACACCCCCCTTCCCTTCTCTATACCCTAAACCCTAAACCCTGAACCCTGAACCCTAAACCCTAAACCCTAAACCCTAAGCCTAAAACCGGCCTTGTCAGCATCGGTGTTGGACTTCTTCTTGTCATCCCACTGGTACTTGCCAGTGACGGTACCCTGTCCCCAGCACGTCGTGGTTTAGTGTTACTTCGTAGCCCAGAAAACCCTAAACCCTAAACCCTAAACCCTGAACCCTCAACCCTAAACAAATACTGGAACCCTGCAAGGCGTGGGCCTCAAGCCCTAAACCCTAAACCCTAAACCCTAAACCCTAAACCCTAAACCTTCGGGTTTATCATGCAAGGCTCAAGGGTTTCTAGGGCTTTCGGGGGGCTCGGACCTAATTAGAGCGTTCAGGTTTCGGCTTTGGGGGCTCAAGGGCTGGGAGCCCAGGCTTGAGTGCTTCGTAGGGTTTAGGGTTTAGGGTTTAGGGTTTAGGGTTTAGGGTTTAGGGTTTGGGGTTTAGGGTTTAGGGTTTGGGGTTTAGGGTTTAGGGTTTAGGCTTGGGGGGTTCCAGGGGCCTCACGAAAGAAAAGGGGCATGTTGGTCAGGCAACGATCCCGGTCCCAGAGTCTTAAGTCTGGAGCCTAAACCCCTAAACCCTAAAACCAGAAGTACCTTAAGCGTGCAACCGGCTGAGTGACGCCCCAGACCCTGGGCCCTGAACCCTCAACCCTAACCCACACAAAGCCATTCCAACATAGCCCCTTAAATAGTAGGATTCCCGTATAACCCTAAACCCTAAACCCTAAACCCTAAACCCCCAATTTCGGAAGCCCATCAGCCCTATGCATTGCGGGCCTCCCACTTGGGAGGGGCGTCGGTCAGTGCTGCCTGGGCTGGGTGGCTTGGTTGGGTCTAGGGTTTTAAGGGCTTTGGGCTTTTAGGGCTTAGGGCATAGGGTTCAGGGTTCAGGGTTTAGGGCTTAGGGCCTAGGGTTCAGGGTTTAGGGTCTAGGGCTTTAAGGGCTTAGGGCATAGGGTTCAGGGTTCAGGGTTTAGGGCTTAGGGCCTAGGGTTCAGGGTTTAGGGTCTAGGGCTTTAAGGGCTTTGGGCTGTTAGGGCTTAGGGCATAGGGTTCAGGGTTCAGGGTTTAGGGCTTAGGGCCTAGGGTTCAGGGTTTAGGGTCTAGGGCTTTAAGGGCTTAGGGCTTTTAGGGCTTAGGGCATAGGGTTCAGGGCTCAGGGTTCAGGGTTTAGGGTTCAGGGTTTAGGGTTTGGGTTCTAAGGGTTCAGGGCTTCAAGGGCTGAGGGCGTAGAGTTTAGGGTGTCGGGTTCAGGGTTTAGGGTATAGGGCAGCGGTTAGGGCTTTAAGGGCTCACAGGTTTAGGGTTAGGCCAGGGGGGATTGGGATGCCAAAAGAAGCCATCTTCCTTCAGCATGAAAGCACGCTCGGCATAGGGTTTAGGGTTTAGGGTTTCGGTTTTCGGGTTTAGGGGTTAGGGTTTAGGGTTACTTTCCAGCAAGCTTCGCAACAACCTGTAGTGGTGGCATCTCCTGCCCACAACCCTGCCACATGGGGGCGGGGTTTCCTTCAGAGCACAAGGCTTAGGGCTGGGGTTTGGGGTTTAGAGTTTCGGGTTTAGGGTTTAGGTGCTTCCTCACACATCCCCGCGCGCACCTTTTTTCCCACACCTCCGGGCCAAACTCCTCGAATTGTGTTCGCCAACCCCCCGCATCGCGGAAGATCTCGGGTTGCCTCGGATGTCCTAAACCCTAAACCCTAAACCTTAAACCCTAAACCGACCTTGTAGCCCAGCAACCGTATTCTAACAAGGGTACGGCTGGTTACTTTTATCAGGAAACCCAGAACCCCGAAAAACGGGTAAAGGGTACCACTGGGCTCCCAAGATGAACAAGCAAAACGAGGGGGAGGGGGTTCGGGTTGGTGTTCTTTTTGGAGTTGAGGGCTTGATTCGTTTTTTTTTTTTTTGGTTTTGCGGGCCTCGGCTTTGGAGAGCCACGGTTTAGGGTTTAGGGTTTAGGGTTTAGGGTTTGGGGTTTAGGGTTTAGGGTTTAGGGTTTAGGGTTTAGGGTTTAGGGTTTAGGGTTTAGGGTTTAGGGTCATACTTCCTGCAGCAGGGTGTTGGGAAAGGGAGGCGAAGAGGTACCAGCACCTACACGGGAGCTTGGGAAGATGCAAACTGACCAGGGCGAAGTCGCCACCTCTCTAGTCACGCGGGGGGCCTTATGAGCCCAAGGGCCCTATGGGGTTTAGGGTTTAGGGTTTAGGGTTTAGAGTTTAGCGTTTAGGGTTTAGGGTTTAGGGTTTAGGGTTTAAGAGCACACCGGGGGTTGTTAAAAATAAGCCGGGGGGAGGCGTAGCGACCTCTGAAGCCCTCAGCCCCTCAGCCCTGGAGCGTATAACCCTAAACCCTAAAACCTAAACCCTAAACCCTAAACTTTACCCTAAACCCTAAACCCTATGTAAACCCTAATTTATCCGACGGCCATGAGTGTTGAAATGCTGGTCGAAGGGACTTCACCAGATCTGGATGCATCATTCCAACTGTTAGCACCCAGCGGTCCTTCAGGGAGTTCTCGGGTTTAGGGTTTAGGGTTTAAGGTTTAGGGTTTAGGGTCTTAGCTGGATTTCCTCATATAAGGCTCCTTTACTTGGAGGTTCATGGTACTTATAACCCCAAGTAGAACTGTACTTAGAATAGCCCCCCTAACTCTAAGCAGGTTAGAAACAGAACCTCCACGTATGGGGTATATAAGGGCACTACGGGTTATATGGGGGAAAAAGCCCTAAACCCTAAACCCTAGACCCTAAACCCTAAACCAACCCTAAACCCTAAACCCTAAACCCTAAACCCTAAACCCTACGAGCGCGCGTGGTTTCTTGGCCCAATCACCTTGTAGATAGCCCAACCCCTGGGCACAGAAGGTAGCCCAACATCTCAAGAAGATAGCCCAGAACCGAAATCGCGAGGGCACACAAGGCCCAAACCACGCGATAATGATAGGAAAAACTCCCTACCTCTTGGGGATAGCATCTTGAGACTAGGATGCAAATATGAAAAAAAACGCATGTTTTGCGGAGTCTTCCTGCAGGGCACAGCGATGAAGCAAAACCGCTGCCATGAATCCACCCGTGAACTTTTTTTTGAAGCTACCTCTCGGTGATAGCCACGTGAGGCTAGCTTGAATAGCTGACAAAATGCCTGTTTCGCGGAGCTTTCCCGCAGGGCACAGCGATAAAACAGAACTGCCATTTTGAAACACAACCTCAAGAAATGGGCTTTGGATGGGGGGGTCTGTATTGTTGTCGGAACGATACCCGAACGATACCGCGAACGATACCTCGGACCTATCTTGGCAAGGCCAAGGCCAACATGTACTCGAACCTATTAGTGCGACATGGCTGTGGGTTTGAATAGGGGTATGTCGCGGTGTCTCCCCCTTTGTTACATACGTTCGACGTTCCCTCTTGCGTCAAAAAGCCTGCGTTGCAAACTCCGGGGGCCTGTTACACACCCTGGACTTCTGACTTCATTACTACCCTGAACCCTGATTGCAACGAGCGATGACACCCTCGCAGGTGCACCTTGGCGTTTCGATGCGTTTCGTGCATCAAATGCAGCATATAAAACGGTCACATATGCACATGCTCATTGCTAGCGTGCCCTCGCGTTTCGTGTTCCAAACGAAGCTTACAGAACTATAGCCTGGTAAGTACCAACTATGTGAATTTTGCTGATTCCGCAGGGCACACAACGACTGGGTTATCTTCTGGGCTTGCGGGCTAATAAACCACATCGACCCAGTATGATGGGAAGTGTCATGGGTTCTTTGTAGCTCCTCTTCCCCCTCGTGTCGTGCGCTGTGGTCGCAGCTGTCATCAAAGGCCAACATCGCTCCATCGCTCCACTGACGTTCTTCCCCAGCAACCGTCAGGAAGGAGTTGCTGCAACCTGAAGGTTCAGGGCTTAGGGTTTAGGGCTTAGGGCTTAGGGCTTAGGGCTTAGGGTGTAGGGTTTGGGGTTCGGGGTTTTGGGGGCTTGGAGTTTCTGCCCAAGTAAGGTGCGAAAGCGCCCTCGTGGTGTGTTCAGTTGGTGTTCCGAGGTTTGGGGCCGTTTTGGAGCTTACTTGACCCTAGAACCCTCTCCAGGAACTCCAAACCTATAAAACCTGACGATAAGCCTATAAGCCCTAAACAACAACAACCCGAACAAAAAACACCTAAACAACCATAGACCTTAGCCTGACCCGGTGGAAGTTATTTCTGAATAGGTTCCCTTTATAAGGAAGGAAGGGAAATGTTAACATTATCCCATAGCCCAACCCAGTAGACCCTAAAAAACCCGAAGGAACCCTAAACCCGAAACCCGAAACCCGAAACCCTAAACCCTAAACCTTAAGAGGGCGGCGTCAAGGGGCCCTGGAGGCCCAGGCTGAGATTCAGCCGGGCATTGCAACCTCCGCTGTGCATCAGCACGCGGGTGCCGGGCGACATTCTGAAAAAGCATACCTGGGGTTTAGGGTTTAGGGTTTAGGGCTTAGGGCTTAGGGTTTAGGGCGGGGCTTATGCAGGATTATTGTACATAGGGTTTAGGGCTTCATCTTTTGCACGAGTTAATTAGGGCTCAGGGGAACGAATAGGGCTCGCTTTGTGGAGGGGGGGGGGGGGGGGGGGTGGACTTGGACTCGGACTTGGATGGGGCGTGGACTTGCACTTGGACTTGGAGTTCGTAAGGGGTAGCTTGGTTGATAACCCCTTGACAGCAAGCCCCATGTTGCGGCTGATCGGGTTTAGAGTGAAGCTTTCGCTAATGAGGCGGTCATGTGGACATTTGCGGGCCCTTGCTGTGTTTGGGCTACAAAGGGAAACTAGTTCTATTCCAGACTCTCATGTGCTGCTTAATGCTGAACTCCTGCCTCTTCCGTGTTGTGGTGAATGTATGGCAGGCCATTCGCCACACCAGGAAGCTCCTGCAACAGCTGCTTGGTCCTCGGTGCAAGGGCACCAGCTGCTGCGTCCCAGCGCTTGTCATTGTACAAACGGATCACATCCCAGTCGCCCGCTGCCGTGAGCCTTGGATACGCCTCCTCCGCCACCATCTGCCCACCGTTTCGCAACAGCGCTTCAAGCTCTTCTTGAATCAGCCCAGAATTCTCAAGCAAAGTCTCTGCCAAAGGTAGAGATGCCGGATCCCACCATGCAGTCACAGGCCGCAGGCCTCGGACGTACACCGACGGCACCTGCCACAACTGCGTCCAGGCGATCACCTGCCGCCCGTTGTGGCGTAGAGCAGTTGCCTCTTCGAAGACCTCCTGTGCCTCCTCCTGCTAGCCGCGGTGGCCATATTATAGTACGGGCACCCTGTGTTTTTGGGGGCTGGTTGCCTTTTAAAAGAACCTTGAACCTCAAAAAATCTAAACCTTAAACCCCAAACCCTAAACCCCAAACCGGCTTTGGGCTATCCAAGCCCCTCCTTGTGGTCGATGAGCTTGAGCAGTTGCAGAGCTGTCTCGTAGTGAAACAGTGGCGCCCTCTCTTGCCTTAAGGTCTTGAGTGGACAGAAGTACATGCTTCTTGGGCTACGTACCTAATTGCGGGAACCCAGAACACAACAAAAGCAAAAACATGTACTACTGAACTAGTTCATTGTTGGGATAGTATTGCAAATTGAGATGTCTATTCCTTCGTGAGCTTAAGTACCCTTAAACATGAAAAAATGCTGCCCTCACCATGACAAAGTGAACAGCCTGGTTGCAGCTCACTCTTGCTGTCGAAGTCCGCCAAGCTCTTCTCATGTCGGGCCAGCCTCACCGCAATCGCCGCAATCCTTACTGGGGTTGGAACCCTTTGGGCTGCATTTTGTGGCTTGATGTGGGGGTTTACGAAAATAAGGAGGGGCCCCTAATGGAGTCCCCTAGATAGTAGCATTCCCCAATAGTAAGCACCCCAGTAGGGTCCCCTGAATTTCGGAAACCCCCATCTAGGGTTGAGATAGGGTTTCATATAGGTTTCTTTCTTTTTTTGCGCTTATGTTAGAACCCCCATATACTGCATCAAAAGAAATAGCTCACACGGAGCTACCTGGTCCGCAGCTAAGCATCAAAGGATACAGCTGCAGGTCTTTCAAATCTAACCTGGGATGGCGCCTTAAAGAAACCTTCTGACAAACATATTCCTAAGGGTTTAGGGTTTAAGGCTTAGGGTTTCAGGTTAACAGTTGGTGACGGGCGCGCACGTAAGAGTTTAGGCTTAAACATGATCTTCTTAATGCCCAATCAGGGAGATTATACAACAATGTCCCACAAGGGCCTGCCTAGCAACAGCTCGTCCTGTAGCGACTGGAGCCTCTCGAAGTCCACAGTCGATTCCAAAAGCCGCATGCAATGCGCAGCGGCGAGGTCCTAGGTTGCGCACGACAGCCCTGCGATTAGAAAAGAAGTGGTGAGGGCTTAGGGCTTAGGGCTCAGGGCTTAGGGCTTAGGGCTGAGGGCTTAGGGCTTGGGGCTTAGGGCTTGGGGCTTATAGGCATATAAGTTTAGGGTTGACCGTTTCTCGTGGCTTCATGGGGGGAGCTCCTCACCGGCTGGGTACTCCACGGGAGATAGACGGTTCAGCTTTACGCATTCTAAGGGGGTATAAGGAGGGACGCCTAGAAGGGACCCTTCATCTTCTTCGCCTTTATTACTCCCGATATTATATATATATATATATATACATATATATATATACCTTATACATTCCCCATAGAACCCCGAAGGTCCCTTAGAAGGTTACCTCCTTTGGTCCCTTGAGGATACATGGGCTTCGTGATGGCTGTTCAAGGCACTATGATACCCGAAAGAAGGAGAAACAGGCTGCTGAGCATAGAAGCTACCTCTCAAGAACCCTTTCGGCACCTACGCCCCTGAACCCCCAAAACCCTAAACCTCCAAGACCCGTAACCCTCCAAAACCCCAAACCCTTACATGCCCCTGCCCCCCCCCCATACCAGCCCCTAAACCTTAAACCCTAAACCCTAAATCCCAAACCCTAAACCCTAAACCCCAAGTCATCCCGGTTTCGTACAGCTCCTGGCAAGTGCCCTCCGAGTGAGGCGGAGAGCGGGAGCTTCGACGCGAAAGCTCCGATGAGTATGCAAAAACCAGCCGACCTGGGAAGGTTTCGGGTTTAGGGTTTAGGGCTTAGGGTTTAGGGTTGCCGGTCCGGGAGGGTTCGGGGCTTTGGGGTCTCTAGGGCTTCGGGGGATTTAGGGTTTCGGGTTTAGTGTTTTGCAAAAACCGGCCTGGGAGGGTTCAGGGATTTAGGCTGTCTAGGGCTTTCTAGGGCTTTCTGGGGCTTCCTAGGGGTTTCTAGGGCTTTCTAGGGCCCCCTAGGGACTTACAAGCGGAGGGTTTTCAGGTTTCGGGGTTTGCTGACTTCTCCTCTAACCAAGAAACACAAAAGTTTATGAAGCTCTATGGTTCCTACTAGACTAAGGAAACCCAAAAAAGGTTTAAAGTTCGACTGTTGGCTGTTGGCTAATACGAAGTAACTTTTGGAAATTTGGTCCCTAAACCCTAAACCCTAAACCCTAAACCCTAAACCCTAAACCCTAAACCCTAAACCCTAAACCGGGGCGCACCCATTTTCATGCCCAGGCGGCAGAGAATATCGGCGCTGGGTGCTCTCCCAGCTTGCCTTTCAGTCCGCGCCACCTCCGGGGACTAAAGGAGGGACCCTTGTAAGGGACCTTAGGGGTTGTTTGGGGGGGGTATTTGGGGGCTACTTAGTTCTATATCAAAAAAAATATATATATATATATATATATATAGAGAGAGAGACTATATAATTAAGGTATATATATATAGGGTTAATAAAAGGGGAATAAGATTAAGGGTCCCTGCTGGGGCTCCCTCTTAAACGCCCGCGCGCGCGCCCCTCGACCACCTGTGTTCCGAAGCGAGACCGGCGCCAATCTGCAAATGATCTCGCTGCGCCCAGCAATGTTGGCCTGCACTTAGGAGGGTAGTAAAAAAACTAAACTTTTAGCTGCCTTATGAAGAAACCCAATAGACCCAAAAAGGCTAAGGATCTAAAGTTACAGTAAAGCACCACAAAGAATGTTGGCCTGCAGCGCATCATCCCAGCCATCTCGCCGCATGGCAAATCGGATGCCTTGATCAAGTCCCTAAGCTGCATGGAACTCAAATCTCAAAACCCCAATCCCTTAAACCCTTAAACCCTTAAATCCTTCTTAAACCCTTAAACCCTTTAAACCCTTGAACCCTTGAACCCTTGAACCCTGAAAGCCTTAGACCCTAAACCTTGCAAACCTCATGACCCGAAGCTGCCCATGCGCCGAAGGTTTTACACGGGGTGTGGGGTTTCTGGTTTAGGGTTTGTAAACCCTAAACTTGAGTAAGTGGGGCCGTAACCGCACAAAACCGCCAACAAGTGAAACAAACAACTCGAGATGCCTGAGCAGCCTAGGAAAAGCAGGGTTTAGGGTTTAGGGTTTAGGGTTTAGGGTTTAGGGCTTAGGGCTTAGGGACCTTTGTTCATGCAATAGGGCTTCATGAGTGAACCCAAGACCTGCAAAAGCAGAACTACGGGTCCACTGGCGGGTCCGAGCCAGAATCGCGAGGCCATCTGCAAAGCTGCCTAGGGTTTAGGGTTTAGGGTTTAGGGTTTAGGGTTTAGGGTTTAGGGTTTAGGGTTTAGGGTTTAGGGTTTAGGGTTTAGGGTTTAGGGTTTAGGGTTTAGGGTTTAGGGTTTAGGGTTTAGGGTTTACATCTCACCTCGTTCTTAAGGATGCTTTTAGGCTGCTTGGGAGAAAAACTAAGAGGAATTGAGCATTTCAACTCTTACCCGGCCTAGCAAAACCAACCACTTTCCTGCTTCTGAGGGCCGCGCAATTCTGAAATACTTTGGGATGTTGCCTCTTCTACTAACAGTCCTAAATAGGGATTAGAATACTTCCTATTCGAACCCCGATTAAATGACTGTTAGTAAAAGGGGGAACATCCCAAGAAATCCCCTATGAGAAAGCATTCGCTTTCATACGGGGTTTCAGGTCGGCGAAGCATGTCAGCAATCACAATCATGATGCTCTATCTCTCTCCATCTATCTATTGTAATTATGTGGTTTCGGTCATCGTAATCATACTGGTATTGCGACTATGGAAAGTGTAAGCACAATCGTAGCGGTAGTGACATTGAGATGGGGTTTCTTATAGGGCTCTTATGGGAGGGGCTCCATGTGGGGTTCCTGAGAACCTGATAGGATCTGAGGGTAGGGAGTATAGTGGGGAGCACTAAACCCTAAACCCCAAACCCTAAACCCCCTGCCTTTGGAACCTGTACGTTTCGGCTGACCCATTGACTCAGAATCGGGCGATGCCGGGCAGCACCTGCCCGAATGGCTCTGGGTTTTTGTCACACCCTAAACCGCAAACCCTAAACCCTAAACCCCAAACCCCAAACCCTAAACCCTAAACCCCAAACCCCAACCCGAAACCCCAAACCCTACTCTTGCGCTTCTGAACTTACTTAACCGTCCTTTACAGCTCAAGGGATTCAAGGTACCATGACCCTAAACCTAAACCCTAAACCCTAAACCCTAAACCCTAAACCCTAAACCCTAAACCCTAAACCCTAAACCCTGCAGGGCCGAGATTGCGGCACAGGAGTCCCGAAGCCAACAAACCCCGTTGAGTGTGAAAGCAGTGGCTCCCGGCTGAAACAGGGTTTAGGGTTTAGGGTTTAGGGTTTAGGGTTTGGAGTTTAACGTTTGAGTTTGGGGTTTAGGGTATAGGGCTGCATGTAGATTGAGGATGGGGAGATACGGCTATCAAGGGAGTCATGCGCGGACCCGTAAGGACGTACCCCTAAGAGGTTACCTTAACATACTCCCACTATCGCCCTTGCCTTAGAGGATTTTAGACAAAGGTCCCCCGAACGTAAGGGTGCAAAAGCCAATGGGATTTGGATTCAAGGCTTGCGATTATCAAAGCGAAAGGGAGCATGTCTAAGGCACTCTTGCGAAGTCGCCATCGGGTCCTATGCACCCCCCCGCTCCCCCTACCCTGCGCTGAAAAAACTGCGAATCATTTTGGCCAGCCTAAGCCTTAATGTTGCACCCTGTTTAGTATTGGCCCCCTCTTTAAAGACAAACTGGCCGAATTATTCAGGACACGCTGACTGTTTGGGAGTTCCTCTTTAAAGACAAATCGTCCGGGCGCCGGAAGAAAATTCCACGTGGCGCGCCTTTAAAAAAGATAACCGGGCATCGCTGCCCCTTTTGAACCTATCTAAACTCCTCCCTATTAAAATCATATGAGCCCCGGGGGCCGTGTAATCAGGCTCCCATCCACGCCTCGACTGTCCAGGGGGGGGGGGGGGGGCCCCCCACACTAAACAGGGTGCAACATTAAACCCTAAACCCTAAACCCTAAACCCTAAACCCTAAACCCTAAACCCTAAACCATCTCACAAGGGGCCTTGCCCTCCAGCAGCTCAAGCGAGGCGCCCCCGCCAGTGGACACGAAGGACACCTTGTCCTGCACTGGATTTGACTTTAGGGTTTAGGGTTTAGGGTTTAGGGTTTAGGGTTTAGGGTTTAGGGTTTAGGGTTTAGGGTCGAGGGTCTAGGGTTTAGCAGGAAGGGAAGGAACCGAACGGCGAACCGTGGAACCGGAACCGTCAGAACCGGAACCTGTGAACCGAGTAGTAAAACCGGAACCGTCGAACCGAACCGAAATAGAAACCGAACCGTAAAAGGTTCCAATTCCCCGGGTTAGGGGTTCTCTTTGCTCTTCCCTTGCTTGTCTGGGGGGCTTGGGGCCGGACCAAGGCCTTTGGAAGAGTCCTAAGGCCAAAAGGACCAGAAATTCCTAACACATTGTGTTAGGGGGCTTTCTTCCGGTGGTCTTGAAGAGCTCGTCGGTCCGGGAGGGTGGCTTGGGGTGTGAGGCTTATTTCTGGAACCGTGCGAACCGCGAACCGAACCGTCCGGAACCTTCGCTCAAAACCGAACCGCCGAACCGAACGGCAGAAAAGAAACCGTAACCGAACCGAACCGAACCGTCCGTCCCCTGGTTTAGGGTTTAGGGTTAGGGGTTTAGGCGTAGAGTCCAGAATCCTGCACCCTCAGCCCTAAAAGACCCTACATCGCTTTGGGTGCAGGAGGTAGCGTTTGGGAACGCAGTTTAAGTCCCAGACCCTCTTGAACACAAAACAAGGCGCAGGCCTATGTTTGAAACTCCTAAACCCTAAGCCCTAAACCCTAAACTTCGGCCCTAAGCCCTAAACCCTAAGCCCTAAACCTAAAATTCTGAAAACAACCGACCAATTCCTGGAAAACCCTAAGGAAGCCCTAAGAAGACCCTCAGGAACCCCTAACCCTAAACCCTAAACCCTAAACCCTAAACCCTAAACCCTAAACCCTAAACCCTAAACCCTAAACCCTAAACCCTAAATAGACCCTAAACCCTAAGAAAGCCCCCACGCCTCCATATTCCACTTGGCCGCAGCCGTGGCGGAGTCGCCGCCGCCGATGATGCCAACACCGCCTGGAGGGTTTAGGGTTTAGGACCCTAAACCCTAAACCCTAAACCTAAACCTACCCTAAACCCTGGTTTCGGGTT